CTCTCAATCCAGTCTCCCCCAGCCTGTATTTATGGTTGGGATTGCCCTGACCCAGGTGCAGGACCTTGCCCTTGGCCTTGTGAACTTCACCAGGTTCATACTGTCCCACCTCTCCAGCCTGTCCAGGTCCCTCTGGATGGCATCCCTTCCCTCCAGCGTGTCAGCCCCACCACACAGCTCAGTCCCAACACCAAGCCTGAGAGATGCCACTTGCTTTCACTTGGACATCAAGCCATCAACCAAAACTCTTTGGGGTCCCAAATTCCCCAAGGCTTCTTCACTAGATGTTTGCCTGCTGTCTCACTCTCTGAAAAGTTATTGGAAGTGCTTTCTTTATGCATCTGCCCTGGACCTACTTCATTTTGGGTTCTGCAGTGCAGACCACTATTAATCCCAGACTGGAATTTTGAGTGTGCCATGTTTTTCCTCACGGCAGTGTTTGCTTACCTGGAGATGCTGGAGCTGCAGGCTCATGAGGCAGCTGTGAAGCAAGAGGAAAAGTTGCTGCAAGAAGAGAAGCTGGCCAGGCTGAAAGCGAGAGTGGAGGAGCTGAGACTCCAGAGGGATGAGCTACAGGCTAAAGTGGATCTGCAGGAAAAGAGGGTGAGAAGGGGCTCACTGCAGAGATCTGGCAGAGGGCTCTGGTTTGTTCCTGCTCTCAGAGGGTGGATTTATTTACTGAGGATACTCATATATATGAGTCATATAATTTTTTTATTTTCCCTTGTTCAGTGACACACAGTGCTGGTGTCCCCTATTTTTCAATGCCATGTAGTCCAAAACTGTTGTCTCGACTTCTTGACAGTTGTGGGGCTGTTTCTGAACTCTTTTCTTGAGTTCTTCCCCCCTCTTCTGCTTCATTTCTCCCCTCTTCTGCTTGAAACGCTGTCTTACTTTTCTCAGAGCTAGGTTATTATTTCTCTGTATCCTGTTCCCTGCAGGTGACATAGTTGTGTCAGTGATTTCTGACCTCTCTTCTCTTCTGGCTTTTGTAGCAACTTGAGAAAGAAGGAGCCACGTCAAATCCAGCACAGCTCAATCCTCAAGCTGTTTTACAGTGGAAGATAAAAAGCCTTCAGGCCATGCTGCAGGTCTTTTACCTCACAGGTAACATCGAGATTTGAGTGTGTTCTGCCAATGGCTGCATTTCTGGGGTGCTAAATTTTGGAAGCGGAGTGTGATGTGAAGTGTAACTGCCCTGTGAACATTGCTGCTTTTGTGCTTGAAGCCTTCAGAGTCTGAAACAGCTGGAAGTGCAGTAGCTTTGTAGTTCCCTGCCTTTCACAGGAGGCCTCTGGGATGTTCCATGAACTGTTATTTACTGAACCACATCATTTAGACTAAGACCTGGATCCTGGAAAATGTGTAACTACCTTAGGAATGAAATCTTAGGGAATTAGGCAGTTTAAGTATCTAGTACTCTGGGTCTTCCAAGCAAGCCTGTGAGATCAGCAGCCTCTTTTCATCTGCTCATGGGCTTTTAAAAAATGTTGGTTTCCAAAAAGAGTCACCTTTGTTCTGGACAGTGCAAGGGTGTGAGTCCTGCCTAATGCAGGTGGGCTGAGCCCCACCATGAGCATTCC